GAGGTAAAGGTCTTGTTTCATTCTTTTGCATATCGCTTTCCAGTTCTGCCAGCACCACTAGTTAAAGAGACTGTCTCCTCCCCATGTAATATGCCTAGGCACTTTGTCAAGTAATATGCCTAGGCTGTATGTGGATGGGTTAATTTCTGGATTCTTGATTCTGTTCAATTGATCAATGTAGCTTTCATTATACCAGTACCAGGCTGTTTTGACCACTGTAGCCATGTAGTAAAATTTGAAATCAGGGAGTGAGAGATCTCCAACCTTGTTCTTCTTCTTAAGCAGTGCTTTGCTTATCCTGGGTCCTTGTCCTTTCCATATAAAGTTAGTAATTGTCTTTTCCATCTCTTTGAAGAAGGTTGTTGGAATCTGGATTGGGATTGCATTGTATGTGTAAATTGCTTTGGGCAGTACTGACATTTTCACGATGTTGAGTCTTCCTATCCAGGGACATGGTATGTATGTTCTTCTACTTCTGTAGGTCCCTTTTGGTTTCTTGTAGTACTGTTTTGTAATTTTCTTTTACAAGTCCTTTGTTTCTTTGGTTACATTTACTCCTAAATATGTCATCCTTTGGGTGGCTATCGTAAATGATATTGCTTTCCAAATGTCCTTTTCAGTGTTATCGTTGTTGCTATAGAGAGATCCAACTGATTTTTGTATGTTCATCTTATACCTTGCCACTTTGCTGAATCTTCTAATGAGGTCTAGTAGTTTTTTTACTGAGTCTTTGGGGTTTTTCTATGTATAGGATCATATCATCTGCAAAAAAGGAGAGTTTTACTTCTTCTTTGCCAATTTGGATGCCTATAATTTCTCTATCATGCCATATTGCTCTGGCTAAAACTTCCAGCACAGTATTAAATAGGAGTGGTGATAAAGGGCATCTTTGTCTGGTTCCTGTTCGGAGAGGGAAGGCTTTTAGTTTCTCTCCATTGAGAGTGATGTAGGCTCTTGGTTTTGTATATATGCTCTTGATTATGTTGAGGAATTTCCCTTCAATTCCTACTTTGTTGAGTGTTTTTATCAGGAATGGATGTTGGATTTTGTCAAATGCCTTTTCTGCATCAATCGATATGATCATGTGGTTCTTTTCCTTTTTCTTATTCATATGATAGATTATGTTTATTGTTTTTCTAATGTTGAACCATCCTTGCATCCCTTTTATGAAACACACTTGGTCATGATGTATATTTTTTTGATGTGCTGTTGGGTTCTGTTGGCTAGGATTTTGTTGAGAATTTTTGCATCTATGTTCATGAGGGATATTGGTCTACAGTTTTCTTTTTTAGTGATGTCCTTCCCTGGTTTTGGTATGTGGGTTATGCTTGCTTCATAAAAAGTATTAGGGAGTTTTCCATCCTCTTCTATGGTCGGGAATAATTTGAGTAGAATTTCTAACCGTTCTTCCCTGAATGTTTGGTAGAACTCACCCATGAAGCCTCTGGGCCTGGACTTCTTTTGGTTGGGAGTATTTTGATGACCTGATCAATTTCTTCTTTTGTTATTGATTTTTTCAAATTTTCTACTTCACTCTGAGTAAGTTTAGGTGGGTCATGTTTTTCTAGAAACATATCCATGTCTTTTAAGTTTTCGAATTTGTTGGAGCACAACTCTTCATAGTATTTTGTTATTATCCTTTTGATTTCGTTTGGTTCTGTTGTGACATCACCCATGTGGTTTCTAATGCAAGTTATTTGTGTCCTCTCCCTCTTTTCTTTTATTAGTTTTGCCAATGGTTTGTCAATTTTATTAATCCTTTCAAAGAACTAGCTCCTTGTCCAGTTGATTTTTTATATAGATTTTTGGTTTTCCATCTTGTTTATTTCTGCTCTTATATTTATTATTTCCTTTATTTTGGTGACTGTAGGTTCTCTCTGCTGGTCTGCTTCTAATTGTTGAAGATGCTGTGTTAATATGTTAATTTTGGTTCTTTCCTCTTTTTGGATGTGTGCATTTATCACAATAAATTGTCCTCTCAGTACTGCTTTTGGAGTGTTCCAAAGATTTTGGTATGTTGTGTTTTCATTCTCGTTTGTTTCGAGGAACTTTGTGAATTCATGTTTAATTTCTTCTTTTACCCTGTCACTTTTCAGCAAGGTCTTGTTCAGTTTCCATGTATTCAACTTTATTGGCTTGGTCTTATTGTTGATTTCTAGTTTTATAGCATTGTGGTCTGAGAAGATGATCTGTAGTATTTTTATGTTTGTACATTTATGGAGGTTTGCTTTGTCACCTAACACGTGGTCAATTCTGGAAAATGTTCCATGCACACTGGAGAAGAATATGTTTTGTGCTGTTGTTGGATAGAATGCTGTGTATACATCTATGAGGTCAAGTTGGTTAATTGTGTTGTTTAGTTCCTCTGTAACTTTGTCAAGTTTCTTTCTGGTTCTTTCTCTTTTCGAGAGTGGCGTGTTAAAATCTCCCACTATAGTTGCCGATTTATATATTTCTTTCTTCAATTCTAGTAAGGTTTGCTTCATGTATCTTTGTCCTCTTTCATTGGGAGCGTAGATGTTTATTATGTTTATGTCCTCTTGCTTAATTGACCCTTTGATCATGAGATAGTGTCCTTCTTTGTCTCTTATGCTGGTTTTTATCTTAAAGTTTACTTTGTCGGAGATTAGTATTGCCACTCCTGCTTGTTTATTGTTGCAGTTAGCTTTGTAAAATTTTTCCATCCTTTAACTTTTAGCCTGTTTTTGTCTTTGTGTGTAAGGTATGTCTCTTGCTGGCAGCATATTGAAGGGTCTTGTTTAATTATCCATTCTGCCACTCTCTGTCTCTTCACTGGTGCATTCAATCCATTGACATTCAATGTAATTATTGATCAGTATGAATTAATTGCTGGCATTATGTTACTTTTTTGGTAGTGCTGTTCATTCTTTTGTTCTGCATGCCTTTTTGTGTTGGGTTTGTGTTTTTTGTGCTATTTCTTGTCAATTTCTTCTTAGTTTTTCTGTTTGCTTGTTTTACTTGGAAGTTCATTTTCATAGTAAGTTGTGAAGTATTAACTTTCTTTGGGGTTACCTTATAGTCTACTCACTTTTCTCTCCATTTAAGATAATCCATTGTATCCTGTAATTTACCTGACATCCTCACCACCTGGGTCTCTGTTGCTACATTTGTCCCTTCTTTGACATTGATATAATTTTGATCTTGGGTTCACCTCCCAGCTCCTTGAGTTTGTTGTTGTTGTATTGTTCTGTTCTGGACTCTGCTATCTGTTGACTGAGTTTCAGATGGTGTTGACATGCCTGTCAATCTCTGTTTGCTGTCTGTTCTTGTTGTTTTTCAGTCCACAGAACTCCCTTTACGATGTTTTGAAGTGCTGGGTTGGTTTTGATAAAATCTCTCAGGTTCTGTTTATTGTGGAATGTTTTGATCACACCATTATATTTGATTGCTAGTTTTGCTAGGTAGACGATTCTTGGTTAACAGTTTTTTTCTTGTGGGGCTTTGTATGTGTCTCCCCATTGCCTTCTTGCTTGCATTGTTTGTTCTGAATACTCAGAGCTTAATCTGATTTGCTTGCCTTTATAAGTGACACTTCTCTTCTCTCTGGCCGCTTTTAGTATTTGCTCCTTGTCTTTGGTTTTTGGGAAGTAGATTATTATATGTCTTGGTGACTTTCTTTTGGGGTCTATCCTTCCTGGGGTACGTTTGGCTTCTTGAATGTTTATCTTCTTATCTTTCAAGATGTTAGGGAAATTTTCTTCCAGAAGCTCTTCAACTATCTCCTCTGTGGACTTCTCTGATTCTTCCTGTCCCAGAATGCCAGTAATTCTTAAAGTTGTTCCTCTTCATGATATTCAGCATGAATCTTAGACGGTCTTCAGATTTTTTTTTTTACCCTTTTCAGCTTGCTCTTCTATCTTAGCAGTCTTGAGAGATTTGTCTTCTAGTTTTCTACTTCTGGCTTCCATCTCGTCTATTCTGCTCCTTTCCCCTTTCAGTATATTGTCCATTTCTGATATCTTATTATTAATCATCTGGACCTCTTTTTGCAGGTTTTGAATTGTTTCCAATGCTATATAAGTCTTATTTGATTGTTCTTGTAGTACTTTCCTGACTACATTCCTGACTACAGTTCAGCTTAGTAATGCCTAGTATATTAATTTTTATGCATTCTATTTCCTGTTTGAGAGCTTCCAATTTTTCTATATTCATTATTTATATACTCCATATTCCCATTATTAATGGATGTTTACTTTTGTGACTCCTCATTTTAAGTTGTTCCCCATCAGCAAATGAAGGTCCTGAAAGCTTTATTTCTTTTGTGTCTTCAAGGTCAAGTCTACTTTGAAGAGGCAGCTCTTTGCCAGTCATATTTTGAGTGCCTTCCCACTAGAGGGGCTCATCTTCTGGCACTGTATCTGACAAAAATCTGGTGGTATTCATCATGTTTCAGTATTTAATATTCTGGTGCTAACTGTGTTCTGCTATTTACAATGCTTTCAGTGGCTAAACAGTCAGAAGTAGTCTGCCTTTCCTTCTTTCTAGTCTGTTTTAATTTGGAAGCTCATCTGAAACCTGTCCACCCTGAGTGTGCCCTGCTGGTATTTAAAATACCAGTGGCATAGATTCCAGCATCACAGCAGCATGTAAGCCCCCACAGTATGTCAAACTGACAGATGAGTGCTAGAGTTTGAAAAGTACAATGTAGAAATTACTAGAATTTTCAGGGCACATCCTCACACCAAATCCAGAATAGCCAGAGCCACACTAAGACATGGAGTCAAGGTTACTGATAAACTTGCTTCACCAGTCAGGAAGTGGGATGGACCCAGACTATAGTAATGGACACCAGTGGTTCCAGCTCTGAGGTGGCTTTGTGAGTAAATTGACCTAAAGAATTACTTCCTGTCCTGAACTTGTTTGTGAGTGATTTGCCTTTGCTTTGTTTATAAGAATGTTTGAACACCTTCAGATTTTCACTAGCCTATTCAATGTGGACCTATTAGAATATGCCCAATCAGGTTCCTGTTTTGTTGTAGGTGTGCCCACTGCCTGGCCCCTCGTCCATCTGATCCCTTTGTCCGCTTCTGTCAAGAATGTGGCTCTCCTGTCCCACCCATATTTGGCTGTCGCCTCCCACCTCCAGAAGGAGCTCAGGTGAGCAGCAGAATCCTTACAATATCTTTCAATTGCTTTTCTGATCCTTTCTTGCACTAGTAGCCCAGTATCCAGCACACAAACATAAATACTGGTAGATTGACCTCTTAGTATCTAGACTCCTACTTTGGAATAGGAAAAAAAGTTTGCAGTGCTATTTTATGTATGTGTGTGTCCTTACAGAAGCATGGACTAAGAAAGACATTGACATATTGTTGTTTTAAGGAGCCTTGTGTGGGTAAATATTTCCTACTAATTTCCTACCCACTTAATATTTTTTTTTCATGACCAAGGTTCAGTAAGGAAATATATTCTAGAACTAAATTGAGAGAGTCTATATATCTGTAAGATACATATTTCAGTACAAAGAAGAATCTGTGATGTTGATTGAGAAACAACTCTTTAAAAAGATATCACTAGAAAACCTGACTAATTCAGTTTGTTTAAAGATCAGAGTTTCAACAATGGGTCAGATACTAAATGAATAATGTCTATAATGTATTAAGATTGCTATAGAAATTAATTTTGTTTATTTCTATGATATATATATATATATAACTCCTTGAAGAAGATAAGATATGAATTGGTTCCATTGGTTTAAATTGTTCCTGCTTATATTCATTGCTATAATGTCAAATTTAGGTGGCTGGGTGTCACAAATGGTTAAGTTCTCCTGTAGCTAAAAGTTTGACAGTTGGAACCCATCCTTGGGAGACAGGCCTGGTGATCTGTTTCCAAAAGGTCAGTCATGAAAACCCTATCTGAAAGTTCTGCTGTGCATACATCCATGAGTTGGAACCAACTCTATGGCAACCAGTGACAACAGCATCAAAGTTTTATTTTACTTGCCTGGAAAAAGATTTTTAGAATTTACTTTGTTTATACAGGAGAAAAGGTTGTTGTATATTATAAACATTTTAAATTATTAGCTTTAAAATATCATTATTGCCTATAGGATAAGCAAGGTCAGTGTGAACTGCAAGGTCAGTGGTTCTAATTCACCAGACACTCCTTGAAAATCCTGTACAGGGTCACTATAAGTCAGAATCAACTTGATGGCATTTAACAACAATGACATTGTTATGTTTGTTTATATTGTTGTTGTTAAGTGCCATGGAGTCGATTCTCACCCATAGCGACCCTGTAAAGGGTTTGATAATATTTTGGGAGTGTGGGAGCTCTGTAAGATAAGTTGTTGTTGTTGTTGTTAGTGCTGTCGAGTCAGTGGGTTTGAACTATTGAACTTGTGGTTTGCAGTCCAATGCTGATCTATACTGGACTGAAAATCACAAAGTTGATGGTTCAAGTCCACCAGCTGCTCCATGGAGAAAGATGAGGCTTTCTACTTCCCCAAAGGTTTACAGGTTCGGAAACCCTATAGCTTTGGCTGAATACATATATGTAACAATTGGTTGAGTTTGCTATAGAAATTTTATTTCTGTGATATATTACATGCATACATCTATGATATATTACATACATACATACAATCTAGGGTTGTTATGAGTTGGAACCAACCCAATGGCACTTAACAACAGTATATGCAAACAGCTTTTTAATTTAAACTAACAACCATTTGTCATTTCATTGCTTTCATGCCTTCTGGTTTCTGCTGAGAAATCAGAGTTTAGTTTTATTGCTTCTCCTTAGTAGGTAACCTTTAGTTTTTCCTGAGCTACTCACAGTTCCTTTTCTTGTCTTGAATTTTGGAAAGTTTGATTATGGTATGTCTTGGTGATTTTCTTTGGGGATCTGCTACCGACCACTACAGTGGAGGGGGTGAGACCCCACGGGTGTCTTTGTTGGTGGGAAATAATTCGGCGAATGAATTCACGGAGACTCTCTTTCCATACAAAGATGTCTCTCTTTATTGCTCTAAGACCACAGTTTTTATGTCGTTTTACTACTTACATAAGTGTTTAATCAATGCTAGTTTCGGAAAATCAGTAATTATTTTCTTTACAACAATAGTCAGGGGATGTGCGTAATCACAGTTTCTTTGAAATAC